GCGTAGGCTACGCAGGGAGGCTACGCAACTTCAAGGGTCATTTTAAGGGGCTGAAAATGTGGGTTTAGACTTTGAAGAGAGAATATGTTAGTTCTTCAACTTGGAATTATTTTCTAGAGAGAAGAAGGAGCTCTTCCAGTGTGGATACAATTCAAGGTACGTTATTTTGGTACAATAATGATTATAAAATATCGTTTAGTGAAAGCACTAACGTTATTATGGATCAAATCCATAGGAAATGGGTTGAATCGTCAAGAACACCAAAAAGAGGAAAAGTGAATTTCTTCCACCAAGAGGTAATCCCTTCACTTGAGCTTCATATATGTGACATATTGGAGTATGGGTAGCATGTTTATGAGTTTTATTTGAAGTTGTAATGGGATATTGTATGAAACCTAAGGGTGGGTCTTGAGAATGATATTTTGGGCAAAGAAGAAGATGAATAGCGATGAATTGATATAAATAGAATAATTTTGAGTTTCTAATGATTCCAATTGACTTAATAACTTAATTGATGAACGAATTGAATAGGGAATCACCATTTGGATAAGATGTAATACTAGTTCTTGAAATGGGTGTTCTTGAACCTTGGGTTTTGTTGGAAAAGATAATGAATAGTGACTTGATGATGTCGGACAATTAACGTAGTATTATTAGTGACTCTAAATGAGTATTAGATAATATGAATGGAATTGAATAGGCTAATGGGTGAGTGTATTGGATAATTTGGCATGGTTGAAGGCTTGTCGCCGAATTGTGAAGCCTAAATGGATATTATGAATCTTTTCGTATTTGTTTTGATGTAGTTGGGATATCTAATGGTAGATATTGAATTGTGAGCGATATTGTCACGACCCAAAACTACCCTGTCGTGATAGCGCCTATCGTGGAACTAGGCAAGCCAACTCGTTACCAAAAATAACGCGATATTCCATTATCAAAGAGAAATTCACGCTAATTAATAATAAAATTTTATAAAGAACATCTGAATAACAAAAGTGCGGAAAGAAAAGCCCGACATCGGAGTGTCACTAGTCACGAGCATCTACTAAAAACTGTCCGATAATACTAAGACTAATACAGTCTGGAAAAAAAATTAAATACATCTATAGGAGGATAGGAGGGAGAAGAGCAGGGCTGCGATCGTCATGCAGCTACCTTGCTAACTCCAATAGATCCGCGACAGATAAAAATCAATACTCGCTAGCACGTCCAGTAACCCCTGGATCTGCACACAAGGTGCAGGGAGTAATGTGAGTACGCCAACTCAGTAAGTAATAATAGTAAATAAAGACTGAGTAGTAGTGACGAGCAGTAAAACACATAAAGTCCACATCATACAATCTTAGTAAATACAACATGCTTTCAAATTCGTATGTGAGTCAAATCATCTCGTTTAAAATCCAGTTTTCGTTAAAAATCATTTGAAGACATTTTTCAACAGTTTCAACAGAGGCTCAATGCAAAAGAGAGTAAAAGTGATGAAAAATCATAAAACAGCCCCTCGGGCAAAACATCACTCATGTGCAGCCCCTCGGGCAAACCTCACAGTCACCATATACAGCCCCTCGGGCATATCTCATATCACTCACTCAGGGTACCCGCGCTCACTGGGGGTGTGCAGACTCCAGAGGGGCTCTTTCGCCCAAGCGCTATAACAAGCCACCTCGTGGCATAAATCAATCAGGCATCGGCCTCACTCAGTCATGAATCAGTAACAACATGTTGCGGCGTGCAGCCCGATCCCATAAATATCCTCACAGATCAGGCCCTCGGCCTCACTCAGTCATAGACCTCTCAAGCTACTCGGGCTATCAGTAAAATAGGGTACTCAGCCCAAAACAATATTTTATATGTATCAAAATAGAGTAATAAAGACCGAGTTATGAAATCAGTAAGTATAGCATGACTGAGTATAGATTTTCAATCAAAACAGTGAGAGGATAATAAGAAAAATGCCCCTAAGGGTCCAAACAGCTCTGGCACAAGGCCCAAATATGGCATTCAGCCCATTTATAGAAACTCTTTCTAAAACAAATAAGTATCATACATTTTCAGTCAAATACGCAACTTTATAGTTGCTACAGGACGAACCTTGTCACAATCCCCAATGATGCACGCCCACACGCCCGTCACCTAGCATGCGCATCACCTCAAAATAGTAAAACGATACGAAATCCGGGGTTTCATACCCTCAGGACTAGATTTACAATCATTACTTACCTCAAACCGGTCAAATCCTATTCCGCGATGCCCCTGCCTCTCGAACCGGCCTCCAAATGCCTCGAATCTAGCCACAAATAATTCGATACAATCAACACGAGCTAAAGGAATCAATTCCCTAAGAAAATGCTAAGTTTTAGGTCAAAAGTCAAAAAGTTAACTCAAAAGCCGGTCCCCGAGCCCACATCTCGAAATCCGACAAAAGTCGCAAAATCCGACAACCCATTCGATTATAAGACTAACCATACTACATTCACTCAAATCCAACCTTGAATAGGCTTTCAATTCCCGAAAATTCATTTTTATGAAACTCCACCATTTTTTTTCCAAATTCCATCCCAAATCACGAATCAAATGATGAATTCAATGATATATTCATGAATATTAGCCAAAATCGAGTTATAATTACTTACCCAGATGATTTTCTTGAGAAACTCCTGAAAATTTGCCTCAAACCGAGCTCCCAAAGTCCAAGATGTGAAATAAAACCTTAAACCTCGCTTATATAGTGCCCTCTGAACCTTCACTACGCGGTTCGCATAAATCCATCGCGGTCGCACACTCCTCACCGCGGTCCGGATAATTCTGTCGCGGCCGCGGACCCTAAGCCATACCTTCCGCGTTCCGCATAAAATCTACCGCAGCTGCAATCCCTTTTCCGCGGCCACATAATACCTCCACAGTCCGCACCAATTTTGTGCGATCCACACTTCCTACACCAAATACAGCTGACACCAGAAATCTGTCAACTTTCAAAGCCAAGAATTGATCCGTTAACCACCTGAAACTCACCCGAGGCCCTCGGGACCTCAACCATCATACCAACACATCCCGTAACATCATTCAAACTTAGTCGAACCTTCGAATCACTCAAAACAACGTCAAAACACCAAATTATCCTCGGATTCAAGCATAAGAACATCTAAATTTCTAAATTTCACAAACGACGCCAAAACCAATCAAATCACGTCCGAATGACCCCACATTTTGCACACACGTCACAAATGACTCTATGAACCTACTCCAACTTCCGGAATTTCATTCCGACCCCAATATCAAATTTTCCACTGCCGACTAAAATCGCCAAATTTCCAACTTTCGCCAATTCATGTCTAATTCTACCACGAACCTCCAAATCACATTCCGGATGCGCTCCTAAGTCCAAAATCACCTAACGGAGCATCAAAATGTAAATCCAAGGTCGTTTACACATAAGTCAACATCCGGTCAACTTTCCCAACTTAAGCCTTCACAAAAGAGACTAAGTGTCTCAATTCACTCCAAAACCACTCCGAACCCGAACCAACCATCGCGATATGATTAAATATAGCTGAGGAACACAAAAGGAAGCAGAAATGGGAGAAACGGGGCTATAACTCATGAAACGATCGGCCGGGTCGTTACAGATATTTGGACATTTTAATCAATTGGAGCATTGTATTATTGAGCTTGAAGTTTAAGGTAAGTTGATTAAGACTTACTCATCTTGAGGGATTCTCTTTAAAAGCATGTCTTAAGTTGATAAATTGTATTATTTGTAAATGTGCATCCATATTTATGGGGACAAGCAGGAATGATGTCACTATGTGTTTCTATTGGAGCTCAGTTCAAGCTCATTTGTCGTTGATCCTCCGATATTAGATAGAATATTTTCAAGGAAGAAAATGCGGCAAAGACCTGGACTCAGTTCTGTTATTGGCAAGAAAAGGTAATATTCCAGTCCACTCAGAGATGATCTAGAGGATCGATTACGGATTTACGTGAATCAGGTAGTTTTTGTCCAAACTCTATAGTCTATATAATAAGAAATTCACTAAATATAAATGTATAAATATTTGAATGTGGAACATGATTTATTGCATTATTAACGTAAGGTTGTTGTAGATCAGTGTTAGGAAAGAAAAACTCTGTATAACTTTTAGACAGAGAAGTATAGTAATTACAACAAAGGAGTTCTCATGTCTATGAGAGAGAGTGGAGATGGGGATATAAGGGCAACTTTGTCCATTTATTGACCATTATATTAAGGAAGTAAAAAGATTAACTGATTATTAACGATGTTAATCTTTCAATATCATTGTATAGGGGCATTAAGTGTGTTATTTAGAAATACAAGGCTTATATCAGCGACAGTCACGTTTATAAGAGTAGTGTGATAAGTTTGTTAACGCCAGAAAGGAGAATAGAAGATTTTGCTTGACTTTTGATTCAAAGGAAAAAAAGTGTGGAGCTTAAATAACCCACTCAGAACGCTTTTTAAAAGATTACGTGGTACAATGAGAATAGGCTTAAATGAATTCAGACCGTACACTTAAGTGATGCAAATTGTAAAACATATATACATATAAACTGCTACAAAATTTCAAGCCATGTTTTGTACTATAATTTATTTTTTAAATCCTTTTTGGAGTGGGAGAACTCGAGATCTTGCGAAGGAGAAAGGAAAGACATACTGGAAATTAGAGTTCACGGGATAGCTAAGTAGTAAATCACTCAACCACCTTTCAATCTAGGTGCTACCAGTTATAGGCCAAATTTTAGTTTTTCCATAAGAGACAAAAAATGAGTTCACTGTTGACTCTTTTCTAACAGTACTACAACTTGACTTCTCAACTGAATGTTTCTTTTTCAGTGCCAGTAGACCTCAAACTTCTTCCCAGAGAAAATTAAAAAGAAAAAGAAGAAGAATATTTTCCAGCAAAAATGATTGAAACAAGGTAAAGTGAGAACCTTTGCTGGCTCACAAGGGTATCTTGAGACCATCAAGAAACAACACATAAGAAAGGAGCTACATTAGGAACTTGATGAAGAATATACTAAACAAAGATAGTGCATATATGAAAAGATTAGAAGTATCAGCTATTACAACAGACTAATGTTAACAAGGTTATATTCAGTATTAATTCTGCGCATATGAGCAAATTAAGAAAACTTCCAGGGTTAACACTACTGGCTATAGGGATCATTGTCAAATTCTACTGATTAGTGCAGGTAAGCAGCCTGGTAATGGTAGCCATTTCCAAAGAAGTTTCCATGCCCAGGGGGAACGTTGTAAGCAGTGGTACCCAAAAATGATGGAACATGGGTGTCAGTTCCAACGGGGTAAGCATATGGTCTGTCAAACACATATTGCGGGTACCTATCAGTCGTCCTAGCATAAAAGTTCTTGTCAGTGGCAACGTTAGCGACTCGGGGTCCATTCCCAACACCATTGGCACGAGGTCTCTTGGTTTGAGGTTTCACAACTTCAGTTGCCCTTTTCTTGTCTGCCTTTGCTTTCTCCAACTGGAGAATCCTTTTCTGGAGGGGATCCACTGGGTATTGCTCCTGAAGCTTATGTTCTTCAATGCATTTAATTACAGACTTTAGAGCAGCCAGTTCCTTCTCATTGACATCATTCTAGAATAGGAGAAAAACAATTGGTTATTGGTAACCAAACAGACTTATTTCAGGAAAAACTAATTCTCATCAGACAGGTTACATAGATGTGTCACCGTAAGCACTTGCACAAGCTTTAGAATGTGATTGAACTGAAAATTCCAAGATAACATACCAAGGCAGAGGAACAAACCTGTACAGTAGACGAAGCGTTTCCAGATTTGACATGTGAAGATGCTTTACTTGCTTCGTCCAAGTGGGATTTCAGTAAAGAAACAGGTGAGAACCGCTCAGTCAGCTCAAAGGCAAAAGCTAGATTAACAGCATCGATATGCCTTCCTTTACTAACCAAGACGTCAAGGACACCTGTAGGAGTGCAATCAGAAAGCAACATCTATGTGAGAATTTCATGTACACGAGCAACCTGAGTTACTGAGCCTATGAAAAATAAAAAGTGGTGTTATCCTAGGACTCTAGCTGCCACTAGGACATATTGATCTCTGTAGCTAAGAAATTTACTCAAGATATTCTTTTCCAAGGTGGTGACCAGGGATGCTTCCTTTCCTTCTATACACATATATAAGAGGTATGCCTCCCCTACTTTTTTTTCCTTTGACAATTAAATCTACACACTGCCTCTTTTGACCTTAACCATTCTTTCATTAGATCAAACACAATACTAACCACAAACAGGATAGGAGAATAACAGTCAACTGACATTAATCTTCAGGTTGACCTTCCACAGCCCAAACAGCCCCCCCCCCCCCCCAAAACCCCACCTCCGCTGCTCCTGCCTCATGGAGGGCAAGTAAAAAAGAGCCTACCAAAAAGAAATTTCACAAAGTTTCTTTGTAAAAGAAACTGGGTAAGTTGTTCTCCACAAATTGCAAGCGAGGATGAGTTAACAGATATTGCTAAGTGGAATTAACTAGCAATATTTACTGCCTTAGACACATATACAATGTATATCACATGCACCTCCGAGGTGACAAGAGGGACCAGCTTGACATTGCAAAATGCTGAAGGAAGAAAATCGGAAATAAAAAGTAAGGGAGATAACAATAGAATATTATAGCATAACAACATCAGTATCAAACAAGTTCTAAGGAGGTTATTACCAAATTTCTCATTAATCTGAGTCCATTTGATAAGAAAAAAGAGGTAGTACAAATAGGACAAAGAGAAACATCCATACAACTTGAGATGATGCAGTGGTAGATGACAAGATGAATCACATGAGCAATCCTTAAGGCATGTGAGTAAAGTTTGATGTCCAAGAGAAAAGAGATTGACAAAGTCTCAGGCAATAACTTTTTTACTTCTGCCCCACAAAGATTGTCCTAATTTTCTTCCTTAGTGTTGAATCTACGTTGTATATGCATTTAGCCTTGACAACTCATGACAAACAGTTATGACGCCATAGTCACTTCACATGAATCCTTCAAAGAACACTGGAAACATACTAGTTGAATATACTGGTTTGCAATTCTTACCCAAAATCTGTACATGCACACAGATCAAACCACGATTATCTATTTGCAATATTTATTTACTTAACCAAAAGGTACTTATTTTATATTGAAATGGAAAAGATTACAACTTATAGCAATTTATCTGAAATTCCAAAAATATAATTTGTATTCATTTCACTATTAACTTGAATAGCAAGACAAAGAGACAACAGAACTTTGGACACGTGCACATAAAAAGCTAGAGAGGTGAAATGACATAAAGTAAGATAGGAAATTTGGTTACTATTACTGGCATTAGCCGTGTAGAGGCAAACTTCATATAACACAGTTCACCTGACACTTGAGTGCAAATGAATCAAGATGGGCTACAGCCGCATTGTTTAACAGTCTCTGAGCCTATACTGTGTGCAATGAACCTGGATTGAGCGACCCCGACTTTACTCCAATAAGATTATTCTTTAATGGTTGGTCAGTCAAAGAATAAGGAGAAATAGGGAGAGAGGACAACAAAGAAGCAGCAGAAAGGAGGGGAAGAAGCGGGCGGGGGTCCTTGAAAAACTCGTCAAAAATAATCAAAAAGAAAAGTAGAAGAAAATCTCGAAGATTTAACTTAGATATGTTATGGACACACACCTGGCATTCTGTCAGACAGTCCAAGAGAACGGCAGAGGTCAGCAGCTTGCCGACGACGTGAAACCATTGGAAGCAGTTTGAATAAGTCATCCTGGTTGAAGTTGGAATTAATACCAAAAGTAGCTAGAAGCTGTAAGAATGCATGAGCCTCCAAGGAATTCCCGTTATTTGCATCAATATCAAGTTCATCTAACTTAGGTTTCCACTCCTCAGCTATTAATTTTGCACGTTCCTTTACATTTTCAGGTATTATACTTGGAAAAGAATCGATTTCCAGCATGGTTAATAAAATGCTAAGGCATTCCATCAGCATAATACAAGTTCGTCGAAGGCCCAACAGATTTGCATCTTTTTTAGCATCTGAAATTGACACTTCTGAGGGGTAGAAACCCTTGAGTGAGTCCAGAACCAGAGAGCCAGGGTCATCTGCGGCTCTAAAAGCAATTGGAATCTCCTCCCTTACAGCAGCTAGGTTCTTGAGGTTGTCTGATATAAATTTATGGAGGCCTTCTGAATCCATGTCTTGGCATAGTTTCACTAGCTCTGGATAAGACTTGACTTCCACAATTGCATTCTCAGACTGTTTTCTATTATTCTCTGTATAATTCTCAGTTGCCCCAGAAACCATGGGCTTTGCCTCCAGAAAAGATGGGCCACCTCGATCCTCAGCATTAATAACTACAGGTTCTGCAGAATAAGGCTTCCTTTGCTTCTCCAGAGCAACAGCAATAGCAGAGACAGCTGCATCCCTTTTCTCCTGGAGCCTCTCAAGTGAAGTTTGCTCCTTAGCAACAACAGCTGCTTGACGCTTCTCTAATAGTTCTTTAGACTGAACTATTTTTGTTTCAAACTCTTTCTCATGTTCTTCCAGTTCAGTGAAACGCCTTTTCAAGGACCTCTGTAGCCCATCAAAGTGTTCTTCGAGTTGCTTCCATTTCAGATTGAGAGTAATAGCACGGTGACTTTCCAACTCAGCAAATGCTTTCTGTAGTTGATGTATCTTAGAGGTCGTAGAGTCCATCAATGTTCCAACTGATTGTGCGTCTTCCATGGCAGACAGTCCTAAAAATCACTTCAAGGTTTAGGACAAGAAGATTGGAAATGAAATTTAATAATATGACCAAAAAAGCATTCAGTTTTGATATCCAGCAGAACTAGAAAAGTTTTGATTTCTAAACTTCTTAACCTTTCTGTATCATTTGAAGATAACTTGTTGAGAAGTTCATAAATAGCCCACGCCTACCAGTAGGAAAATAAACCTAATAAAGATTTGAGGTCAGCACATAAATTACACAAACTCTTCTTACATATCAGAAGTTTTAATTCACTATATTGCACGATCTGCCATAGATGCTCCCTAACTGAATCCTCTACCCATCAGCAAAACCCATTCCCAAAATAAAATACCTACTGCTTTATTAAAGAGAATTTTAAGAAATGAAGCCATGATTTGCTTCTAACAAACAATAATGAACCTCATGAAGAAGAAGAAGAAGAAGAAGAAGAGGAGGAGGAAACAATAGAAATGCCAGTGATAAAGCAGGAGAGCTTAAGAAACATAAACAACAGAGATGCCAGTGATGAAGCAGGAGAGTTTAATTCGGAGTTCTACTCATTCAGTTTAGCTTAAGCTTGACCATGACCTTTTCAAAACTTCTGTTATGTTTATTCGAGCAGTATCAGCCTTTCCCAATGATCTGACCTTTTAGTCTCTACATACTAGCCTGTTCACCCAAGAAAAATTAAAGGGAAAAAAGTTAAAGCCTAACGTTTAACCTTTCTCTCTCTCTTTTTTTTTTTTTTGATAAGTCAAAGCCTTATGCCAAACTTTTTTTCTTTTTTTGGGAGCCTTACGTCAAACATTTGCCAGGGGTGTATGATTCTATACCATCAAGGCGGTGTACAATGAGGACAAAAGTACGGATTATATTGCAGATGGCCATTTCTGTTAGTAAGTGAAAGTAAAACACTGTTCTCTTCTCCAAGAAGCAACTCATTGAGAACTCAGACATGTTAAGCTGCTAAAATGTCTTCGATTGGAAAAGGAATGGTGATCAGAGTCACCAGGCAGTCCAGGCCACCCCAGGAACAACAATCCGCGTTAAAGAAGCCCAGAATCTTCCTGCCGCGCACGGTGAGTGGTTGGGCTTTGCTCGCCGAAAGTCCTGAACCTTGTGGTGGTATAGTTTTTTGCACAACATTCACAAAACAAGTGGGTGACACAAACAACACTGAAAGACAGCGGAAAATGTGTGGTGCCTGTCTTTTTGGTTACTACACAGTGAGAATTTTCTCACCAAGGATTCTCCCGTGTATTTTTCATTTCTAACATGGTTTTAGAGCAGGCACAGATCCTGCTTTTAAATCTCACGGTCACCCAAAAAGCAAAAATATATTTCCGTGTTTGGCCCATAAAAAAGAAACACATAACGAGGCTTATTGAGATATGAATATAATAGAGTGTTCTCTCTAACAGGTTAAACTTTCAGATGATATGGTAATACAATTCAATAAGGTCCATTTCTAGCAATGGTATCAAATGCAGATCCATCCATATTCTTGGGTTACCCCATATGTGTTCCTCTATTATATTGTCGATGCTCCAAATGTCTAGTCTTGGGCATACAGGGGGTTGTTAGAATGTCCCACTTTGGCTGAGGGAATGGGATGTTGTCTCCTTGAATGATCTTGGACAACTCTCACCTAAAAAATTAGCTTTTGGGGTGAGGATTGCCCAAGATCATTGTTAGTTTGATAGTTAAATAGGAGTAAATAACCCTAATCCTATATGTATTAGGAGTAGGACATGTATTATATATATAGGGCTCATTGTATCATTGTTAATTAATCAATAATATTTTCTCCCGTGCATTCTCACGTGGTACCAGAGCTAACTTATCTTTTCCTGGAGTAAGGTCATGGACAAAGCACGTACTCCCAAAGACACCGGGTGGAAGAGAGAACAAAGGTAAGTGGGAAACAGGACAGAGAATGGAACTTGATTTTGGATAGTTGAAGATGGCATACGATTAATAAGATAACAAGATGTAAGAACTGCATCCCCCAAAAACGCAGCGGAACATGAGATTGTATGAGTAGGATACGAGCAGTTTCAATAAGATGTCTATTCTTTCTTTCAGCTACCCCATTTTGTTGGGATGTGTACGGACAAGATGTTTGATGAATAATCCCATGGGAGTTCATAAACTGCTGAAATGGGGAAGACAAATACTCTAGGGCATTATCACTACGAAATGTGCGGATAGAAACCCCAAATTGATTTTGAATTTCAGCGTGGAAGGTCTGAAAAATAGAAAACAACTCAGATCGGTTTTTCATCAAAAATATCCAAGTGCACCTGGAATAATCATCAATGAAACTGACAAAGTAGCGGAATCCTAAGGTAGAACTAACCCGAGTAGGACCCCAAACATCTGAATGGACTAAAGTAAAAGGTGACGTTGCTCGATTATCAAAACGCCGCGGGAAAGGAGCGGGTATGCTTACTGAGCTGACACGACTCACACTCTAGAGTGGACAAGTGAGATAAGCCAGGTACCATTTTCTGAAGTTTTGACAAACTGGGATGTCCTAACCGTTTATGTAATAAATCTGGTGAATTAGTAACGAGACAAGTTATTGGAGGAAGACAAGATGCGAGTCCATGTGATTTTGCAAGGATAAGGTAATAAAGTCCATTTGATTCACGTCCGGTACCAATGATCCCCTGTTACTGCGTTCCTGTATAAAAACAAGGTCATCAAGAAATAAAACAGCAGATTTAAGTGATTTGGCTAAGCGACTAACGGCTATGAGATTAAAAGGACTACCAGGAACATAAAGAACGGAGTCTAAAGGTAAGGAAGGAGGTGGACTTGCTTGACCTATTGCACTTGCCATGGCTTGAGACCTATTGGCCATTGTGACTGTTGGAAGAGATTGAGAATATGTAATACTAGTGAAAAGAGATTTGTTACTAGAAATATGATCAGATGCACCTGAATCAATGACCCAAGACTCAGAAGGTGAAGATTGGGAGACACAAGTCATGCTATTATTTGTTGGAACAACGGAGGCTAATCCTGAAGATGCCTGTTTACGTGCTTTGTACTGAAGGAACTCAATATAATCCGGTAAAGAAACCATCTGGATTGGATTCAATGCATTGGATCCAACGGATTGTGAGTTAAAGGCTTCCGATACGAATGCCATTATAATATGGTGCCGGAAACAGCAGAAATTTTCTGGGGATCACTGTTCACGCCGGAAAAATCACTGTAGCCGCCGGAAAATTCCAAAGTTGTCGGAATCTGTCGGAAATCTGTTTCCATCCCTAAGTCTACAGGTGAAGCACTGTCTCATCCCGGATGGCGACAGGCGATGATTGATGAGATGTCTGCTTTACATACGAGTGGTAATTGGGAGCTTGTTCCTCTTCCTTCAGGTAAATCGACTGTTGGTTGTCGTTGGGTGTATGCAGTCAAAGTTGGTCCAGATGGCCAGGTTGATCGATTTAAGGCTCGGCTTGTTGCCGAAGGATATACTCAGATATTTGGACTCGATTACAGTGATACTTTCTCTCCCGTGGCTAAAATTGCATCAGTCCGTCTTTTGCTATCCATGGATGTTGTTCGCCATTGGCCTCTCTATCAGTTGGACATTAAGAATGCTTTTCTTCACGGTGACCTTGAGGATGAGGTTTATATGGAGCAACCACCTGGTTTTGTTGCTCAGGAGGAGTCTAGTGGCCTTGTATGTCGGTTGCGCCGGTCCCTCTATGGTCTAAAGCAGTCTCCTCGAGCCTGGTTTGGTAAGTTCAGCACAGTTATTCAGGAGTTTGGCATGACTCGTAGTGAAGCTGATTACTCTGTATTTTATCGACATTCTGCTTCAAATCTCTGTATTTATCTGGTCGTTTATGTTGATGATATTGTTATTACCGGCAATTATCAGGATGGTATTAGTAAGTTAAAGCAACATCTCTTTCATCACTTTCAGACTAAGGATCTGGGCAGATTAAAATATTTTCTGGGTATTGAGGTCGCTCAGTCTAGCTCAGGTATTGTGATCTCACAACGGAAGTATGCCTTAGAAATTCTTGAGGAGACAGGAATGACAGGTTGTAGACCTGTTGACACTCCGATGGATCCGAATTCTAAACTTCTGCCAGGACAGGGGGAGCCTCTTAGCGATCCTGCAAGATATAGGCGGTTGGTTGGTAAATTAAATTACCTCACAGTGACTAGACCTGACATTTTCTTTCCTGTGAATGTTGTGAGTCAGTTTATGGATTCTCCCTGTGATAGTCATTGGGATGCAGTTGTCCGCATTCATCGGTATATAAAATCAGCTCCAGGGAAAGGCTTATTGTTTGAAGATCGAGGTCATGAGCAGATCGTTGGATACTCAGATGCTGATTGGGCAGGATCACCCTCTGATAGACGTTCTACATCTGGATATTGTGTCTTAGTAGGAGGAAATTTGGTGTCTTGGAAGAGTAACAAACAGAATGTGGTTGCTCGGTCTAGTGTAGAAGCAGAATATCAAGTAATGGCTATGGCCACAAACAGTTGCTCAAGGAGTTGAAATTTGGTGAGATTAGTCAGATGGGACTTGTGTGTGATAATCAAGCTGCTCTTCATATTGCGTCAAATCCAGTGTTCCATGAGAGAACTAAACACATCGAGATTGACTGTCACTTTGTTAGAGAAAAGATACTCTCGGGAGATATTGCTACAAAATTTGTGAAGTCGAATGATCAGCTTCTGATATTTTCACCAAGTCCCTCACTGGTCCTCATATTAGTTATATATGTAACAAGCTCGGTACATATGATTTATATGCACCAGCTTAAGGGGGAGTGTTAGTTTGATAGTTAAATAGGAGTAAATAACCCTAATCCCATATATATTAGGAGTAGGACATGTATTATATATATAGGGCTCATTGTATCATTGTTAATTAATCAATAATATTTTCTCCTGTGCATTCTCACAATCATATAACGAGACAACAACTCATCCCCTTAACCAATGTTGAACATTCTAACATTAGCAATACTAGAAACGATGTGGTAGTACCATGTCATGCCGCTTTATATTTACATGCATCAGGACTAAAAGAAACTAATCATTAAGATTTAGTTTGACAAAAACCAAGTTCTTCATCAAGGCTCATGGGAAGAAGACAAAAATGAAGATAAAAGAGAGGGAAGAAGACAAAAATGAAGATAAAAGAGGTAGGTGAGAGGGAGACAGAG